GCAACGCTAAACCCCTAATTAATTGAAGGGTCCTCCGCCTGATACGCCATCAGCCCTAATCCCTAAGCCCTAAACCCTAAACCCTAAACCCTAAGCCCTAAACCCCAAACCCTATGCAGTCCTCCACCTGATACGCCTTCATCCACTCCATCAGGAAGAGGTCACAGAACGTGACAGCTGCCTTGGTCGCCATCAGCTGCATTTCACTCTTCTGTGGGGTCCTACTGTTGATGATATAACTCCTGCATTTCCTTGATGACTATGGGAGTTATGGGCATATTCCTTATTATGGGTCATGCAGGATTTTATACCATCAACCGCAAGGGTTTAGGGTTTACGGGGCCTTGGTCCCTTCGTGCTGTAGCGTCGCAGTATGTATCATGACCCCCAAAAGCCTAACTCCTAAAAGCTAGACCCTCCCAAAATCCCTCAGTCCAGTTAAACCCTCAACGGGGTCGCAGTTACGGCTTCGGAAGCTTAGGTTCAAGTGTACGAGATTCGGATCTGTTGAACGGGAAAATTCTTTTAGGGTTTAGGGTCAAGCCCGACATACCTCTGAACCTGTGTGCCCTCATATCCAATCAAGCTGTTCTGGTACCGCTGGAACCCCAAACCCTAAATTTCTAGTCCCTACCAAAGTGCAAACCCTAAACCCCCCTTCTAAATCCCCAACCTAAACCTTGTACCTCTGATCCGAAAGGAAGGATTACAAAAGCCCTCGCCTGTCCTTCGTGCAGCGTTATGAAGGCCTTCTACCCAACCTTATTACACCAATGACAATGAAACCCTCTACCCAAGGACCCTGAATTCAGAAACCGACCTCGAATAATAGAGGGCTCTTATATGTCACAAACCCTAAACCCTAAACCTTAAACCGTGGCTCAACGACCCTCGTGCTGCTTTGTTTGAGTCCCCAGCCAACAACAGTAAGGATAAGGGTATCCCATTAAAAGCCACTTATAATGAATCCCAATAAAGTAGGTATAAAATGCTTACGCTTATGTCCGTCTTGGGTCCCTAATTTACCTGAGTTCCCAGCCATCAACAGCCTATTCGGCTTTAATGAGGGGACCCTGAACTCAAAAGGGCAAAAGGGTACTACTCAGGAACCTACGGTTGATGATAGAAATCCTGCATTATATACCCATAATAAGGAATGTACCATAATTCCCATAGTTTAGGGCCCTTCAGGTAGTGCAGGATTTATATCATCAACCCTAAACCCTAAACCCTAGCACTTAGGACAGTTCGAGGTCCCTGACTTCGGGACCCTTAAAGTAAGAATCTGCTGTGCATCCATATCATCAACCGTAGTGTGTGAGTTCCCCGCCATCAGCAACACTTGACGATGGAGCCGCGACCGGAACTTCCGGACAAAGGCCTTCGGGGTGTAGGTTTTCACGTCATAATGGAAGACCGTAATCAGAAGGTTTCGGGCTTTAGGGTTTTCAGGTTTAGGGTTTCAGATTTGAAGTTTTCTATGTAGGTAATTCTCTACGTTGAAGTCCCTTTTGGAATCAATTTCTGGTAAACCCGAACCCTAATTTAGGGAATGCCCATACGGGCTTGATAGCTAGAAAAGGGTTTTTGGGTACTTCCCCTGGGACAAAAGCTACTCATTCTTCGCCACAACGGTAGACAGTCAATGTTTAAGGTTGCGCGGGGTTTCGATTTAGCGACTGAAACCCCGAAGCAAGCCAGACTGCAGCACCAAACTCCCCTCAGATCCCATCAAGGAGCCCTTTATGCCCAGTCCTATGATCCTGTAAGTAACCCTAACCCTAGATCCCTCCAAGGAACCCTTCAAGGAACCCTAGTTACTAAGCCCCAAGATCTTTCAAGTAAGAGCCTTTAAGGAACCCCCTAAGAAACACGATTAGTGAAAGGAACCCTAAACCCTAGCTGCTAAGCCCCTTGATCCTTTGAGGGGTAAGAAAGGTTCAGGTTTTGTTAGGGGTTAGGGTGAAAGGGTTTACGGTGTTAGAGCAGGACCTTAGGGTGTTAGGGGCATTAGGGCACTAGGCCATCAGGCCGTTAGGGCGTTAGGGTCTTAGGGCGCTATCTCGAAAGCTCTGGCCTTGGGGCAAATACCTCTCCAACGAGCTCCCCGTAAGGGTTCACCAATTAGGGCTTTTGGGTTCAGGGTTCAGGGGTTTAGGGTTTAGGGGTTTAGGGTTTGGGGGTACCAATATCAGCTTGCAAACATGCCATGATCCAAGGTGGTTCCACGAGTCACGCTGTATCCATTGAAAAGCTGCATACTGTAGCCCTGGCACTTTGGTGATGATCCGGACCTTCAACGGTTCCAGAATCACGGCTACCTTGGCTGTTCATGGCTGGCAGTGTCTTTCTCGCTTCATGTTGGTTGAAGCAGCCCGGGCTGATCTTCACTTGGATCATCCACTTGCAAGTGTTGCTTCACTGGGCCAGCGTGTCGCCAGTTCCGCCCGGTCCGGCTGTGCTGGCGGGACTGCTTTCGTCGGCAAGCTCGGCAAGAAAATCGTTTCTAAATTCAGCGCGGGCCTGCTGGGAACCGTAGCTGTGACACAACAAACAATTCGGATGGTCGGCTCATCTTCGTGCGAACCAGACCATGGAACATGTAGGGTGTTAGGGCGTTAGGGCGTTAGGACATTAGAGTGTTAGGGCGTTCGGGGATTAGGGTGATAGGGTGAGGGCGTTAGGGGCGTTAGGGGGTTGGGGTGCTAGTGTATAGAGTCTCGGGTGCTAGGGTGTTCGGGTTTAGGGCGCTAGGGTGTTACGGCGTTGCGGTGTTCGGGCGTCAGGGTGTCGGAATCTTAGGATGTTGGACGGGGGTAGGGCGTTTGGGTGCTGCGGCCTTAAAATGTCAGAGTGTCAAGGTGTTAGGGTGTTGAGTTGTTGCAGCGAGTGGTGTCAGGGTGTTAGGGTGTTGCGGTGTCAGGGTGTTAGGGTGTTAGGGCGTTAGGGTGATAGGGTGTTAGGGTGTTGAGGTGTTTGAGGCTGTTAGGGTTTAGGTGTTAGGGCGCTGGGGTGTTGAGGTGCTTTGGGGCCTTAGGGTGTTGCGGTGTCCGGGTGTCAGGGTGTCAGGGTGATCGGGCTTGAGCTTGGGTTCGTGCAGGGCTCTGCTAGGGTGTGGCAAGGAAAACTCCAGGCCCCGGATTCTCTCCAGCTGATCCCCACGCCCTAAAACCTGAAACCCCTGAAAGGCCTAAGCCTCTGTTCAGGGTTGCGGATTTAGGGTTTAGGGTTCAGGGCTTAGGCATGAAGCCTAGAAGCCTAAACCGCTGGAGCCAACCGATACTACGCTCCAAAACACTGCACTCCTAACCATGGGAAATCCTCAGAATCCTTATACTACTTAAAGGATCATGGGACTTAGTAACTAGGGTTATAATTATGGTAACTATACTTATAACTGCTTATAACCCTCATTAAGGTACTTATAATACTTACTAAGTCCCATGATCCTCCAAGTAGCCCTTATGCTAACCCTGTAATCGCCTAGAAACCCTAGTCGACGCAGAGCCCCCAGAACCCCTACGAGATCGCCCTGATAAAGCCTTCAGACCCTAGAATCCCCTCACCATGCCTCTCAAAGCAGCCCACAGACCTCAAAACCCTAGAACCCTCACCCTGGTAGAGTTCTTATTATTGTGCCCGTGCAGAACTCGGATAGCCACCCCACAGCGAACTCCAAAACAAAAACCCACAGTTGGGTAGAGGCTCCTCGCGGTGGAAGCTGATCTGAAAGTCTGCCTGCGCAGCCGGCGAAACCCTAAACCCGAACCCTCAAGCCCTAAACTTTCATCTCTAAACCTTCAACCGTACATGCTCACAGCCCTGAACCTTAAACCACAAATCCTGAAACTTAAGCACTTTTTCGGGTGCTTAGAAAAGGCTTCGTGGCTCACAGGCTATATCTGGTTTCGAAGGGCATTTGCGGGGTTATAGGAGTCTGGGTTTCAACAGGTGTTCTCAGTACTTTGACAAGTGTGTTAGCAGGTTTTTCATGGGTTTCCACAAGGTGTAAAAGAGCTGTATAAAGGTTTCGCAAGGTTCCTTTTGGGATTCCCTTGAGCATTCGTGCCTGCAAATACCTGCCTGAACAAGAACCTTACAAGCACCTTCAACCTCCATAAACGACCCCTTGCCGAAACAAACCTTAACTCAAGTTCCTGAACTTTGAACTCTAAACCCCAAACCCTAAAACCCGAAACTCTGAACCCCAAACCCTAAAATCCGTAAACTTTCAACCCGAAGTCCTAAACCCTGTAACTCTAAGCCCGCAACCCCGTAACTTTTCACCCCAAAACCTAAAACCTGTAACTCCAAACCCTAAAACCCTAAAACCCTAAATCTCTAAACCCCAAACCCTGTAACCCTGAACTCCTTCGGCGCCTCTGACGTGTTTGCGGGTCTCGAAACCTGATACCCTGGGAACCTCTGAAGCACAAGCAAGACAGGCAGGTGTGATATCGGAGCTCTTACCTAGACCCCCCAAAATAGGTAAAATAATGGCCCAAAACCTATAAAAGGCTATTATTCTACATACTTTTGGGGTCCAGGTAGCAACTAGAATAGGATTCCCTGTAAGGGTTCCTTCAAGGATAGGGGTTTAGGGCTCAGGGTTTCTTCAACGACTAGAATAAGCTTCCCTTACAAGGCTCCTTCAACGGTGCAGGCTTTCGGGAGTTATAGCACAGAGGCCTTACTGATTAGAAAAGGGTTTAGGGGCATAGTCTTGCATACTTTTAATCAGGAGCCCGAAGGAATAATATTGGTAATTAGATAGGCACCTGTAGAAATGGGTCGACTTGCCATCCTGGCGTCACCACACTGGAGAAACTACTTACCCAAAGAGTTGCAAACGCCGTGGACTTCCTGCGACGCTGAAGGCGGCTGGCAGGCACGGTTCGGGTTCGGGTTGCTCCTGGTCTCGGTTCGTGAACCCTGCGCGGCTTGCGCTCGAGGCCTTGTTGGGCAAGCTCAACGAGCTGGCCGGGAAGCAGCTTCACTGGCTACTTCGTACTATTGAATGGCATAACGAGATCGAGTTTGGACGACAAGTATTGCCACTCCCCATGATCGATCGTGTCGAAGCGCTGTTCCAGTGTCGCGCTGGCAAGCACTAGCTTGTCCTGCAAGGTATAGAAAGAGGCCTCAAGGCGGAGCTCCGGGCGTGCCACTGCTTTGGGCAAGCCGCCGACTACAGCCTCCGCCTCAGCTTTGCTTCTTGCCTCCACGCGGGCATGGGCCGCCTCCCATGACTCCACGACTGATGCGATCTCGACCATCTTGTCACCAACGGCGGGATCCACCCAAGGACTTAGCACAAGAGTCGCGCACACCCTGTTGGCGCCGTCGGCCGTAGCCCAAAGGCGGCTCAAAGTCCTCATCGTCTTTTCTGCAAGTTTGGCCTTCACCAGAGACACGTCCTTGCATTGCAAAAGCCCCGCCAAGTCCGGGTCGAGCAACTTGATGAGTTCCTGCTCCGCGGCTGCGTCCATCTTCAGCAATACATCCACCAAGCAAAAGAGAAGAAACCGCAGAGAAGACTAGACCTTGAACAGTCAATGTGCAAGTCAATTGATGTCCTATCAAGCTCGTTCTGAAGCTCCTAAACCCTAAACCCCAAACCGCATTGTGCCCTCGTTCTGAAGCTCCTAAACCCTAAGCGCCAAACGGCATTGTGCCCTCGTTCTGAAGCTCCTAAACCCTAAACCCCAAACCGCATTGTGCCCTCGTTCTGAAGCTCCTAAACCCTAAGCACCAAACGGCATTGTGCCCTCGTTCTGAAGCTCCTAAACCCTAAACCCCAAACCGCATTGTGCCCTCGTTCTGAAGCTCCTAAACCCTAAGCGCCAAACGGCATTGTGCCCTCGTTCTGAAGCTCCTAAACCCTAAACCCCAAACCGCATTGTGCCCTCGTTCTGAAGCTCTTAAACCCTAAGCGCCAAACGGCATTGTGCCCTCGTTCTGAAGCTCCTAAACCCTAAACCCCAAACCGCATTGTGCCCTTGTTCTGAAGCTCCTACTCCTAAACCCTAAGCGCCAAACAGCATTGTGCCCTTGTTCTGAAAGCTCCTAAACCCTAAACCGCATGGTACCCTTGTTGAGGAGCTTTCAGCGAGCTCGGTATCCCTCAGCCCTCAACCAAAGGGCTTTTGCCAAACCCTAAGCCCGTTTTAGGGTTAAGGGTTTGGGATAAGGGCTTATCCAAACCCCAAACCCTAAACCCCAAACCCTAAACCCTAAAACCCTACACCCTAAACCCTAACTCTAAACCCTAAACCCTAAAACCCTCAACCCTTTCGGGGGACACCGTATTTAGGTAGTACCCAAAGCCTCGGAGAACATCTTGGTGTTGGGCTTGGCGAGTTCTTTCGCGTCATCGGTGAAGCCTTCCTGCGACGTCTGATTTAGGGGTTTAGGGTTTAGGGTTTAGGGGTTTAGGGTTTAGGGTTTAGGGTTGGGGGGTTCTTGGCTGCCTTCTGAACCCCTCCTAAAAGTTAAACTTTTAGCCTTTAGCCCCCTCATTATGGTTCATATAGAAACCCCAAGAAGTGAATCTCCTAAGAGCCAACCAGAAGAACGCCAAATCTGGCTGGAGCTGAGGCTCTCAGTCTGTGGGGTCTCGGGTCACCTGCTTAAAGGATCAATGGACTTAGTAACTAGGGCTCCTTAAACGGGATCTATGGGGGTTCCTTAAAGGGATGTACGGGGTTTAAGGTTTAGGGTCTACTTAAAGGATCATGGGACTTAGTAACTAGGGTTATGATGAAGGTAGCTATACTTATAACTACTTATAACCCCAATGAAGGTACTTATAACCTTACTTACTACGTCCTATGATCCTCCAAGTGGATGTATAATGTAGGAACCTGATTAAGAAACCTTGCGCCTTTATTAGGGGTCCTTGTTTGAATCCTACTATTTTGGGGTTCTAGGCCCAGGGTTTCTTAATCAGGTTACTACATTAAACAAAAGAGGATCTTGTGAGGCATACCGTTTACCATACGCACATATTCGCATGTACGAACATATGTACATGTACATATGTATGTATGTATGTATGTAGGTAGGTAGGTAGGTAGGTACGCGTCTCTCTCCGTTGTATATGGTAACTCAAACTGAACTCCGTCGCAAGAGACGTATAACAACCTCACGGGACATTTATCAATAAGCCCATATAAGGAACCAGCATAGCTCAGATTATCGCGGTCTGGATCAAGACCGAGTTGGGGGATTCTGTTGTGACTTATAGGGTGTGAAAAGGGTTTAGTCGATTCTATGTAAATGTGTAGTGGGGTTTAGGGTTGTTTAGGCCAGCGGCGTAGTATCCCTACTGAAGCGACGGTATCCGATTAGATGTACTTAAAAAAGTACTTGAGCAGGATATTGTCCATCTGCCGGAATGCTCCAAGGCTTCCGGCCAAAGAACAGAGATGGCTTCTGAAAACCTCAAACCCATCTCCGACCCCACAAAACCCCTTACGATACCCATAAAGACCTGTTAACACTTGTTTAGGTAGCCCCAACAACCTTCCTCGAAGAGGCCAAGACCTACACCCCCTACCCTAAACCTAAACTGCTGCCCCGTGCGCCTTCCTTATGGCCTCACTTGGATCCTCGAAGAACCCGTTAGTCGGTGAGACCTGATGACAACCCTTTGAACCTGCCGTGAATCCTGTATAAAACTCTTGTTTATGTAGGCCAGGAAGCTATAAGTGGGTGGTTGTCAAAATTATGGTCCCTTTTTGGGTCCCTATTATAATACGGCACCTAATATTTAGGGTGCCCAAAAAGGGACCCCAATTTTGACAACCACCCATATGTAATGCCATTCAAAATCCAGGAACTGCCAACTGCCCTTCAATGGTCCTTCATAGTGGGCATTTACGGCATAAGACAGGGTAGTTGGGGGTCTAGGACACTACGCCGCCTGATCCGTCAAGCTTGGGTCTCTGGCGAATGCAAGTGAAAAGTTTGAGGATAGTAGGGCTCAGGAAAAGAGAAACATGAAAAGCCCAAATGAAAATGAGCAATGAGACTCTGAATCATCAACAAAGCATAAAATGTAACCGTAATACCCCTAGCTGTCGGAGGCCTTGTGAGACAGAAGCCACCCGGTCGGCTCGCCTGTGGCAAGTCGGTGCTTCCTTAGGCTTACCTTCGGGACTGCAATCCAATTTAGGGATTTGGCTTTAGGGTTTGGGAAATTGAGGCTTCGGGAGTCAAATTCAGGCCGAGATGTGTTCAACGCAGATTTGGAGGTTGCTAAAGATTAGTGGGGCCTGGTAATTTAGGGCCCCATGTAACGATATTGCCACTATTTAGGTACCCCGAGTGCATTTGGGAGTAGCCTATTCTAAACTTCTACGTGGAATCCCAAGCAACATAGTGTAGATATTAGGTACGGCCCCCACTTAGTAATAGTTGAATATTATTCATAATATAGATATAGTAGGACCTCAATAGTAGCCTTATTATGGACTCTTACTGTATGGGGGCCGTACCTAATGTAGATATCTGTTGAGCTCTCTACAACCCGGACCGAAAGCCTGAGCCTTGCAGTTATAGATCCCTTCAATGGAGCCCTAAACCCTAAAGTAAAAGCCAGAAAGTTGGAATATGATTATCCTAAACCCTTTATGATAAAAAAATTATAAGGTATCCTACCCTGAAACCATATTGCAACTTGCTGGAGTTCCCTTTAAACCCCAAACTTAAACAACAGCGGCACTAAAGATCCGATGCCTTCAGGGTTCTGAAAGCCCTAAACCCTGAATCGTTGATTCCTAAACCTAACAGTTCATGATCATGCCTATTCCGGTATGCAACTACGACCCAACCCAACTACCACGTCCCCCGAGGTTAAAGTGGACCACAAAGCTTACTATACTGAACTTAGAACCCTAGCAAAAATTTATCATTTTAGCTGTCTCTTTGGGATTATAGTAACCAAAATTTAAAAGATACTTCTAAGTACCCCTAAGTTAAGTTAAGTTAAGTACGACCGCTGGAACCTCACCTGCGAAAAAAGGCCCTAAATACAAGTGCAAGCTCCTGCATACAGCTTAGGGTTTTAGATTCTCCGGTTTCAGGCTTTTGGTTCAGGTTTTAGGCTTAAGGGTTTAGGGTTTAGGGTCCTAAAGCCTGAATCCTACGAAACCCTAAACCCTAAATTCCAGCCGAGCAGCTGGAGTCGAAAACCTGCTGGATGACCTCATTCACCTCTTGCTGCCGCTCGTCCTTCTGAATTCCCGCTGTGGTCTTTGGAAGCTGGTCTTTACCTTTAGGTTGTTTCTTACCCTTCGAGGATCATCCGATAAAATTGGAACGATACAGAGAAGATTAGCATGGCCCTGCGCAAGTGTACCTTTAGGTTTTGGGGTTTAAGGTTTAGGGTTTAAGTTTAGGCTGTTGGGTTTAATTGGGGTTTAGGGTTTAGGTTCATCAGAACTGTATCTGATTGTCAAACCCAAAGCGTGCGGGACTAAGCCTCTTCACAACCTGCAGCTTGAAGCCTATTTGAGAAACGCTGTCCTCCGACTTCTTCGCCTGGGACTCCTCTGTGTCCTTCAGATGTTAAGATCTTGGGGCCTAGCAAATAAGGGCCCTAGCGTAGGGTTACAGTGGGAGGTGATGGCACTAGACGTATACCACGCAGCCAGGTACCCAACATTGATACTCTACTTTTTGCACGTAGCTGACCATGTGCCTTCAGTGGTCTTGTAGCGGTTGAGGGCTCAAGATGATATGACCGTAGAATAAAGGAGCCCCAAGGAATATCATAGATTTTCATATTTAAGGCAAACTAGGGGACTTCATGAGGAACCCTGCGGAATATTACTACAAATATTCAGGCCTCTATGTGAGGGTTCAACGATGCAGCGAGGGCTTAGCAATCAAGGCCAAGGGGGTCCCTTAGGCTGCATGTCTACGGGTGTAGGGCTTCGGTTTTTAGATGGCTTTAGGCTTTAGGTCTAAGGGTTGCGCAGCTCGCAAGAGACCCGATTCAAACGGGAAAATTGAAGGTAAGGGTTCAGAGACTTCCAATCTGTCGCGCACTGGCTGTGGCTTCCTCTACTTCTCCTCCCATTCAAAAGAGGTCTTTTGCCAAGGTCGTGGGATCTACTTTCTTCCGTGCACTGAAACAGCTTCCGAATCGCAAGGACCATCTTGGCGGAGGCTTCATCAAAGACGACTATGTCGTGATGAAGAGCATTACTTGGAGGTTCAGGGGTAGTTATAAGTGGGGTTATAAGTAATGGAACTATAAGTATAACCCATATTAGGGGACTTATAACTACACTTATAACTACCCCTGAACCTCCAAGTAGTCCCTAAACCCTGTACCCTTATAGAATCCCTATAGATCCCTTTAAAGGGACCCTTAGAGGAACCCTTATAACTACCCATGAACCTCCAAGTAAAGCTCCGAAGATCTGGCTGGTCGACACCTGCACAGTTCAGCTCGAGTCTGCGCGAGTGCCTGCTCTTCGAA